GGGAAAGAGATTTGACTTACAACTGGGGTATTGTCTGTTGATAGCAGCAGCATTTGAGGAGCCAAAAGAGGCAGCCACACTCTTCCAAATGGGAAGCACAAGGTGAAAAGGAACAGGAAGGTTAGCAGCGAAGTGCTTGTAGATAAGCGCTTGTTGCTCCAGCTCATGCAACTGAGAAGCTGTCAACCCACCACCACCATACTTCTTCTTCTTCTTCCCAACAACAACTTCTTCAGTCCCATTATGATCATCACCATAACAATCAACCCCAATCCCAAGACCAAGCTTCACCTTACCACCACCCTCCTCCTCCATTGTCATCACAAGCAAATCAAACTGTTGCTTCAACAGAGGTGCAGAGAGAAAACCCAATTCAATTCGACTATCAAGTCTCAATTTTCAAGGCAAAAACAAGAAAAGCAAAGCTGCACAAGAGGCATATGACTGAATTGATGAACTGGGTCTGGATGTATTGCAATGTGTCTAAGCGAAATGAAGCCATATATGCTTTGCTTTGCTTTGTTTTGGCTTTTGTTTAAAGTTGGGCGTGAGAGAGAGAGGGAGGGGCTGACAATCCCTGTCTCTGTTTCAGCCTTTTTCAGTGTCCGCAGGCAAAAGTTTTCAGACCAACTTCGCTTCCTTTCTTGGGTTCTTTAAACTGCGGCGCGTGTGTCTCACGCTCCAATGGGTGGGATGCTTCGTGCTTTGCTGGAGATTTGCTCCACGCGCCTCTGAGCCAGGACGACTGCTTGTTTTGGCAGCAGTGGAAGCCCCGCAGGTCGACACGTCATCCGGTTTTCAGTAGGGTGGGGCCCGCGTCTGGGTTGGGTTGGGTTAGTTTGGACTGGACTGGGCTGGACTGGGCTGGGCTGGGCTATAAAGCTAGGCTAAGACCCAAAAAGCCCAATTTCGTTATAGTAGCCTCAAAGCTCAACACTGCATGATCAAATTGTAAACTATGTCACTGCTCAACACAGCAAATTATATATACATAGCAATTGTGGGAAAGATGAATTTTCCTAACTCAACAACATACCCTTAAGTGACACGAATTAAAAGTACAACCATGATGAATACAAATGTCATTACAAACATTACAAGCCATGTGAAACATGTAGTTTTGGACGTCTTCGAGTATATATTGGTCGCCCGTGTAGTGGCATGGCCAGTGCTTGCCAAGCTACTTTCAACAGCCTTCTCTGTAGAATCAAGTATCTGCACATAAGCCATACCTTAAATTATGAGATCGACAGATATGACATTCGACCAGCTATGAATTTACATCAAAGGCACACCAGAGAGTAAGCTTTTATCACAACAATCAATTTTTGAAGTAACACAAGATGTTACATTATTCCTTTGGACATTTTTCCTTAATTTTGATATGTCTGATGATCAATGTTTTCTCTTAGGTTTTCTCTTATTCTTCAACTTCTTCCTTTCTTTTAACTATCTGAACATGGAAAACTCAGACCAAATATCATCTTGCAGACCTCCCCAAACCCCTGTACTTTAAACTCTTTCTAAACAAAAAACTATATTTACTCTCTTATTACAGCCTAAACTCCTCTGCAAATCTATTGGTTTTAGCCTAAGAATCTCAGGGACTCTTTACAACCCCAACCTTGGTTTCTTTGTCTCACATTTCCCTTTCCAAGCATTTCTCCTGATTCTCGCACCTAAAATCCAAAACGCTCTTTCACCTTATCTTCCCTTCAAAAAGACTTCCCCCTGGTCAGTGTCCCCCCTAAACACAAATCAAACCACAGCCAGCTAAATATAAATAGTGTTGAGATTATAAAGATCTTACTTTTTCAGCGTCTTGCAGCGAGTGATTCATCATGAGACTACTCTCTTTGAGTTGCCTTGCCAATCCAACCATTTCATCGGTCAAATCCTCTTGAAGCTTTCTGTCCCATGAGAGAAAAATTTATAAGAATCTAAAACAGAATGTGGAAAGCAAATATAATCAATAGCTGAAGTTTTAACAGTAAAGATAGCCTCTGCTCTGGTGAGTTATCTGGTTTCAATTTCATCCAGAGTCTAGTTACTCCAGTTTAATAGGAGAACTCAAGAAAGTATGAAAGTTAATACGACAAAACACCTATGTTTTTCAATGTGTGCATGGGCTGCAGCATCCAGTTTGACAGGCGCTGAAGAATCAACACTAAGAATCTCACGAGTTCCATCTTCGGAATTTGAGGTAGGCCTATTTAACAAACAAAACCAGTTAAAATCATGTGATAGCATACGAAAGATCACTAAGGAGCTAAATGAAACCATGATCCTAACTATTGTTCACTTACCCAAATCTCCTTCTCAGACCTGGAGAAGGGGGAATCTGATTGTCTCCTGTATCAGAAGAGTTTGCTTTGACAGAAATTCTTGCAAAGGGCTCCTTGGGTGCTTGAATATCAGGCTGGGAGTTTGCCAAAGAAAACACAGTTAGGAGCAATTAACTCCATAAATTGCATACATATACATATATATTGTACAGAAACATTCTCTTGCCAGACTGTTAATCTAGACGATTGATCACGTGGATTCCTGCTTTCATATATGATGCCAGATTCACAATCTGCCATATAACATGTCAGAAATCTAGCAAAAGAACACAATCGATATATTAAAGATTCTCTTTAGATATGATGACAAAAACTGATACAACCAATTATATGTACTGAAGCATTAAAGGATAAATTCTCAATATTTTGTTAAGCATGAAATACCAATTTGGATCAGCCTAACAATATTTTTCTTTCTCAGTCGTTATAATTTCCAGACCTTCATACCAAACCTATTATCAGTAAATTAATTATAAATGATACATAACACTAAAAAAATTCAGAAAACCCTAGATCTAAAGAACATTTGCCAAGTGAACTGGTTAAGTACATAAAATCAACAATTCAACAAAAGTGACATATATGCTTTCTAGATCATATGTACGCACCAGAGGAGCAGCTAATTTGGAAGCAATTGCTTCGATCTTCTCTGAATAGTCACTCAAAACAGCCTTTGCAACTCTGAACATAGAACCATAAATAATCATTCCAATTAGTAAATTAAGAAATTTACAAGCTCTTATGACAGAGTATCAAGAAAATGCATATAAATAATAACTCAAGTCATCATTTGGATAAAACTCTTTCCATCCAAAATCCCTAAAACAACGAAAGTATGCTAATGATATGAGAAAATGTCTCTAGAACTTAATATGAGTATATAAAAATATTCACTCTAACACAGTGATTAGAATGTTAATCAATATTTCCATCATATCATGCCTACCAAAACCCTTGGATTGATTTGTAAAGTAGAAGAAAGGAAGCATATTGGAACATGCATCAAATTATTGAAAAAATCAAAATTAAAGTAAATCAAGGGGGAAAATTAAAACAAATACCAACCTTGGTAAGCCTTCTGGAGTTCTCTCCTCAGCTAGTTGTTCTACCTGTTCTCGTAAAGTAGCAACATACTGCAAAATTCCAGTACTTATATCATCCATAAAGGCTATATATCCCAAAAACACCCAAAAGAAAAAGAGAAGCTAGAACACATATCAATTGTATGAAAACGAATAAAGCATGTAACCTGTAATTCTAATAACAACATCCATATCAGAGGTGAGAGAGAAGACAAGGATCATACATACATGTACAAGTTTTGACTGGTTTTGTTGCTGAGGAGCAGCTGCAAGCAGCCTCCTCAAGTTCACCTCTGTTTTACTGATTCTCATCCCAAAATCCTACACCACTGAACAAATAAAAAAAGTTCAAATCTCATGATCTTTTTGATGGCCAAGAAGTAAATTAGAAACCCCATGAAAATTGAAAAAGTAAAAGTCATTTTGTGAGAAAATTACCACCCAAAAGAGAAGAAGTTGTTTTTCATTACCAAACTGGGAGCGCATGTAGAACAGAATTTGAGAATTTCTTTAAGCCTCTTCTTTCTTCTTCTTCTGCCTTATGGTGCCGCCGAAACCACTGCGGTGGAAAAACCTCGCCTCGGTCGAGAAGAAGAGGCTGGGTCTTTACAAATCAATTTTGTAAAATTTTTGTTTCGACCCCAAATAGTATCGCCGCTCGGCTATATTATTTTTGACACATGGCAACTAATCAACTCTTTAACTATAATGTATTTAAATAGTATAGCCGACCGGCTATACTATAATTTTCCTTTTAAAAAACATAGCCGTACGGCTATATTATTTTTGACGCTTACTTGATTGCTAGGAGTTATCTTTTTTTATAAAAAAAAAATAGTACAGCCGATCGCCTATAATCGACGTATTTAATTTTTTTTTTTTAAACATAGTATAGCCGAGCGGCTATACATAGTTTGACACGTGGCACCTAGGTGCTGTATGGCAGCTATTTTTGTAAACAAATAAATAAAGAGTATAGCCGAGCGGCGATACTCAGCTTTTCCTAATTGTCTAAAAATATTAGTCGAACCGCCATACTTGTTTGACACGTGGGGCATATGCATTGGAAATAGTATAGCCGGCCGGCTATACGAGATTCTTTTTTGAATTTTTTAAAGAAATGTTATAGCCGTGCGGCTATACGTGTGTTTTGACAGATGGCACCTATGAGCTGGGCGCATCCTTTTTTAAAATATGTATAAATAGTATAGCCCCGCGGCTATACAGTTTTTAAAATAAAAAAATTTAAAAACATATAATTAGTTTCTTTAGTTTTATTTTTTGGCCAACTTCTTTAATTTAATATATGTAATTAAGCAACATCTTAGCCTTTTTGAATCACTTCAATTAGTAATTATATTCTAATACAAAACAATTATACAAAAAGTGCACAAAAAAATTGATTTCTATTTGCTAAGTCTTTTGAGTAATCATTTGGTGTCCTAATTAAATTTCTATATACCCCAAGAGCCCTATCCATTACTTTTAGGCCATTACTCGAGTATCTATTGTCTCTTTTTCATTTTTTACTTTTTAAGAGTTATTACCCGCATAAAGATTCTAACACCTTCACATTTAATAATGTATTATACATGTACAAACGTATTTCTCATGTTTAATACCTATCTTTTACAAAAATTTCAATAATACACACAAATTTAGGTATTATACACAAAATTTTCACATACTTTTGAATAAAAATAATATATATTTTTTCAAAAATAGTATAGCCGCACGGTCATACTCAGTTTTTTAATTGTCTTTAAAAATAGTATAGCCGGCCGGCTATACTTCTTTTTAAAAGGAATTTAAAACAAAAATAGTATAGCCGCCCGGCCGTACCCGTTTGACACGTCACATATTGGCGATGTAAATAGTATAGCCGTCCGGCTATACTATATTATTTTTGAATTTTTTAAAGAAATAGTATAGCAGGTCTGACACGTGGCACCTATGCGATGGGCCCGTTTTTTTTTTAATATATAAATAGTCTAGCCGCACGGCTATACTTTTTTTATTAATTTTTTAAAAACATATAATTAATTTCTTTACTTTTGTTTTTTGGCCTACTTCTTTAATTTAATATATGTAATTGAGTAATATCTTAGCCTTTTTGAATCACTTTAATTAGTAATTATATTTTAATATTAAAAAATTACAGAAAAAGTCCAACCAACAATTTACTTCTATTTACTAAGTCTTTTGTGTAATCGTTTGGGTGTCCTAATTAAATTTCTCCATAGCCCAAGAGCTCTATCCATTAATATTAGGTCATTAATCAAGTATCTATTGTCATTTTTTCATTTTTTACTTTTCCAGAGTTATTACCCGTTGTTGAGGCCCAAAAAATCCGCGCTTCGGCCCGAATAAATTCTCGGCCCAATGCGATACCTTACCGAGAAGAAACCCGATTTGAGTATGCGAAAGTTCATAATATGCGCTTGCACACATGCAACTCCAAGCAAGGAATTATTATTCCGCACATAATCACGCCACAAGCTTAAGTGGGCCCCAAGCCACTCAAATACCCGGGGCTTGCTTGAGTGGCTTGCATGAGGCTCATTGATGAGCCGAGAAATAGAAGTCTCAGGTTACTTGGGAGCCTCGGGACTCAAGCCCATTTCTTAGACCCAAACATATGGGTGAGCACAAAAGAGGAAATAGCCCATTAGCTTAACCAAATTAGCCCAACACCTCAACAAAAATAGTCCAACACTTGTTGAGGTTAGCCCATTTATTTTGACAAACTAACCCATTATCTTAGAAGGCCCGTACACTTAGAAAAAGAGAATAAGTCATAGCCTCAGCTCCTTCTTACTGGAAAAAAAAACAGAAGCCACAAAGGAGATGTCCACATATGCAGAGTTGCTGGAAAGGAACAAGTTCCAAGCACAAAACACCCGAGTAACCAAGGGATATTAATGTGCAAGCTGCTAGGAAGAGAAGCACCCTTCGAACTAGCATACATACCCCAATTCCTTCCCCCATCAGACCTGGCCATGGAAAAAGGAAAGAAAGAAAGGAATGAGATGGCTGGGAATGGAAGTCTCCCACTGAAACAGTTGCGAGAAAGGGGGCCTTGAGCTCCCAAAATTCCTGATTTTGTGCAAATAGATAGAGGAAATTTCACCAAGATATAAAAGTCAATGGAGGATAGGAGAAAGGAAGAAAAAGCTTGGCCAAGTTAGGAAGAAACCATTAGGGTTTCTTGGGAAAGGATAGTTTCCAGCAAGCTATAAAATGAGGCCTCTTCTACCCAACAAAACCAACTCAAATTCAGAGAGCAAGTTTTCTATCTTACTTGCAAAAACCCAGCAATTTCGTGCACTATTCACCCTTCTTCTCCATTTTCCTCTTCTGGCAGATCACTTTCACATCTGTCATAAGCTTTGTCAAGCTACCGGAAGAACATTGTTTTTTCTTTCTCTCTTCTCAGCCAAATCAGCCTGCAAACCTTTTCTTCCTCATCTTAAACACTCTCATTGTTCCCTAGAAAGCCATATTTTCCTCTTTGGTGCTAAACTCATGCTGATTTTGCTTCCATGCCACAAGCCTCTCATGCCAAGCTAGAAAATTTATCTGTAAGCATCAAGAAATCATCTATAAGTTGTTGTTGCTTTGGTTGGTGAAGATAACTAAGATGTTCTTAAGGCTCTACTGCTTTTTCGAAGCATATTTGAGGCTTGATTTTCGAACTCAGACAAATGGGACAATTTCATCAATCTGCCATTTACGGCAGCCCAGCTCATTTACAACTGCCGGAAGAAAAAAAAACCACTACACCCGTATGAAGATTCTAGCACCTTCACGTTTAATAATATATTATACACGTACACACGTATTTTTCAAGTTTAATATACCTATTTTTTACAAAAATTTCAATGAGACACAAAATTCACATATTATAAACATAATTCTCAAATACTATTGAATAAAAATAATATATATTTTAAAGAATGGTATAGCCGCATGGCTATACTTAGTTTTTCCCTAATTGTCTTTAAAAGTAGTATAGTCGGGCTGTTATACCCCTTTTTAAAAAAAATTACACAAAAATAGTATAGCTAGGCGGCTGATGAAACGAAGAAGGGAAAAAAATACTACTGCTCAAAACCAAATAAATGAATTCGTGACTAAACAATTATGGCCTTGTTGCTCAAATCCATTCTGATCCTTCTGGTGGCTAAAATTCTAAAAGTATAAAATAAACTAAATATTTAAATAAATAAACAAAAGTCAAGCTAGAGAAAAAAAACTCCCAAAAAAACCCTCATAGAGCCGTTTTCACTTTGAGGGGGGAGGAGGCCCTTGTTCTTCCTCTCCTCTCCCCTCTTTCTCTTCCTCCCTCTCTTCTCAAGAGACAAATGGTTTTCTCTCATAAGCGATTGTGATTTGTTCTAATTTTCCTCCAACCATCATAGGCGTTTGTGTCTCAGCATTGGATCTCTACCTGCGTTTTGACTTCGGATCTCTACCACCATCTTTTTTGCGGTTTCTTTATGTTCGGAATAAGTCACAGAGACTCTGTAGGTTCTCTTTGAGTTTTCACCTCTCCTTTTGTGAGAGCTTTTCACCTCTCCTTTGTAAGAGCTTTTTATCTCTCTTTTGTGAGAGTTTTATTTGTATTGTTATGGCTTGATTTTTTCAAGCTTTGTCTATTTTTGATTATTCTGAGTTTGCAATCTTAGTTGGGATGCCTATGTTAGAGTTTATTCGATCCTGCGTGATCGTTAGTGGAGGCGCACCAAATTGTCTTAATTTTGTTGTTCGACCGCTCCGTTATTGTAATCGCCCTTTGTGGCTAGTTTGTTTTGGCCCCTTGTGGCTAATGGCTTTTTTGGCTGAATTATGAATGCAATCCTAGAATTTCTCAAAAAAAAAAAAACAAACAAACAAATAAAAGTCAAGCTAAATTCTTTTATATGTTTAAAATTTGATATCTTCTAATTTTGTGGAAAATAGCCTTAATTTGCATATTAATGATCGCAGATTTGAACCCGATAAATAAAAATGTAAGGTACAAATTTCATATGGACCATGTATAACTTACAAATCTCTAGGATATTCGAATTGACATGGTTGCAGAGCACAACATCAAGTAGTAGCCCTCCATTTGGAAGCGACATATCTTCTTTATCATTGTTCTAAGTTTTTAACCTAATTGCCAAGATTCCATTTCAGTATTTGGCCATTGATTGTTCACCACAAATTACTAGAGGCCAACAACAGCTAGGGGGCCATATATGTGCTTCATTTGTTAATGGAGGGGCACAGAGTCACATGGCAGCCAATTGGGAAGCAATGCCACACATTTTAGACCATTTATTTATTTATTTTAATTTGTTTATTTTTGTTGCTTTTCGCATGTGGTTGCTACAATTGTTGCCGACAATATCCTCTGCATGCCAACAACTATGGTGGCCCCCCAACTCTAAAGTCCAAAATTGAATATATATATATATATATATATTTTTTATTTGGAATTTTGTAGCACTAAATTCCCATATGGGGTTGTCTTCCTTTTGCTCACTGTGTTTCGAAAATTATTTAATTTAACAAAGCATATGAAAACAATGCCAAGATTTTTTTTGCAGAATACTAAATAACTTTGTTATAT